CACCAATTGGACATTGCCTTGGGATTGCCCTTGATCCCCTAGGGATTACGCAGCATTTCAGGGCATGTGTAGTCTGATTGGTTTATAGGTGTACACGTCCCGGCCTGCTTCTACTTCTCTTTGCTCTCTACCGTCCGCTCCTACACTCCTCCAAAAACCACACCGGTACTTTTCTCTCTTGTCAACAACACCCGACCTCCTCTCCCTCTCTCCTTCAAAACGCCCCCCTTGTTCTCATCCTTCCGCAGTGCCCATGTCCCCCCCCTTACTAATTGGCCACTCTCTCTTCTCCCTCCTCCCCCCTCTCCATCCCGCCTGCATCCTTCCGCAGTGCACTCATGTCAGTCTTTCAGAGCCAAGCACTGCCGCGTGCAGCGGATGACAGCACGAGGCGGAAGTGCTACATGAGCGCCCTGCACATTCTCAAGCTCCTGGTGAGTGTCTCTGTTTGCCGTGCCCTTGTGAATTTTCTTCTCCTCTCCTTAATTCGATGTGTGTTTTCCTGTTTCCATCGTGCCGTGGCCCCCCAAACCCTAATATGTTTCAGCTGTTTGGCGATCACTTTGGTGGCGCCTCTAGCACAGCACCAGGCTTCTGGGAGGACTGGGAGGAGGAAGGAAGCGACGAGGAGCAGCTGTCAGATGCCGCATACACAGCCGCAGCATCGGGCACTGTAGCAAGCACTATAGAGAGCATTGTGGGGAGCACTGTATCGCGTACAGTGCCAGTGGCTGCCGCCCCTCTCCTTGCCACAGCACCTAGCGATTCGTCTGAGCCAACCTGCCTCATCCGGTGAGTGATTTCTGATTTTATTCGACTCAGAAAAAAAATCATTCTGTTGTGCCTTCGTCGGAATGGCTGCCACCAGCCACTCTACCTCTTTCAAGGCCCTTTATAAGCTGCCAGCAGCTGCTCTGCCTCTCGTTGCCACTGAGCCAACTTTCTTTTATCTGGTAAGTGGTGTATTGCTGAACAACAAACCATTGCTTTTGAGTTGAATAAATAAGGGATTGTTCTTTCTTTGTTAACTTTAATGCGATATCTATCCAATCAGCTCTTCTATTCTTCTCTGGCCTTTGCTGAGGTGAATTTTGGGCTGGACTGATTGGAAGTATTTCTTTCTTTCTTTTCTTTCTTTCTTTCTTTCTTTATTTTCTGTTGGAGCCAAGTTGTCGCATCTGGTGAGGTGATTCATTTCCTGTACAACCTCTACCTGTGCCTGTGTGTGCCTTTGGTGTTGTTCCCTGCAGGGCGGATGGCACGGTGGTGGTAGCGGAAGCAAAGAGGGTGGGTGAGGGGATGGACGAGGGGGAGGAGGAAGACGTAGAAGTACAGGACATTATTCTAGATAACGGCGGACTCACTGTAGATCCTTGTGAAAATGCTGCCAATAAAGGGGTTGTTCCTAGCGAGGACGCCCCAGCTCCTCAGCCTCCTGCAGCAGGTGCTACTGGTGCAGCACAAGCACCACCGCAGCAAGCAGTGGTAGAAGCAGCTGCTGTAGACTCGCCAACAGCGGCGACGGCAGCCCCTGTTCCGGCAGCAGCAGCGGCCCCTGTGCCTGAAAGGGATGTGCCGCCATTTGTAGCAGTAAGTCTCATTCCTCACCGCTTTCTCCCAGCTTCACCACGCTGTGACACCAGTCTGCTTCTCTGATCCACCTCATTTTTGTCCCATGCATTTTGTTCAGGCGTCTAAAAAATTCTGATGCACCCTCAGTTCGGTCTCGTGCGTTTTGTTACTTGCACGGGGAGAATCATAACTGATTCCTCTCCTTACTGCCCCCACAGATCATGGATGCGCCGTCAACCCTGCTGCCGGCTGATTGGTCAGAGCTCACCAATACCATCATGATGCTCGCCTGGGCGGCATCGATCGGCTCTTTGCAGGCGATGGCGTCACCCAATCCGCATGCATTCGATACAGCAGCAGCTGTTGCTGTGAGTGAATTGTGCACGGTGTATGTATGTATGTATGTATGTATGTATGTATGTATGTATGTATGTATGTATGTATGTATGTATGTATGTATGTATGTATGTATGTATGTATGTATGTATGTATGTATGTATGTATGTATGCGTGCACACAAGAAATGTACCCATGCAGAGCTGCATGTGTGCATGCGTCCGTGTGTTCACGCATGCATTCATACCAAATGTGCGTGCATGTTAGTGGTTAAAATGTCCTGTTGTGCTTATCAAATACAAAACTTTAGGCGCCTATAAAATTATATTTTTGCTAGATTGTCCTCTTGTGCTCCTCAAAGGCAAGCCCTTGCAATGCATACCTACATACATCATGAATGTGTAATGCATACCTACATACATCATGAATGTGTAATGCATACCTTCATACATCATGAATGTGTAATGCAACCCACACCTGCTAAAACCCATGTCATTTCGCTTCCACATACACCTGCTCCCTGATTCACCTGTAGGGCTCTCTTCCAAATTTCATCCATCTTTTTACACCCCTCTCTCCTGCTTTTCCCTTCCCTTCCATCCCTCCCGTCCCTTAACCGTCTCTCCTGTTTCTCCCATCTCCCATTGCTCCCACCATTGGCAGCACCTGACCCTGCAGTCTGGGCTAAAGCAGCGGGTGGAGCAGGCCGGCTCGGGGAAGAGGGGAGGGGAGGAGAGCGATGAATCAGAGGACGAGGATGATGAGGAGGAAGCGGATGAGGATGGGGCGGAATCACCGTTGCATCCTGATGATGCGTGCCTGGCGATAGAAGGAGCAGTGGTGCTGGTGAGTGTGGTTTTCAGCTTTCTCTTCTGCTCCAACCACCCCTCCTCTTTTCCTCAATCCAAATTTCACCTTTGCTCTCTCTTTACATATACCCTTCCTTGTCCGCCTTCCTAAAACACAAGTGCCTGTTTTAGGAAGGGATCCTTTCCTAGACCGTTTCTTCCTAGAACATTGTTAAAATTATCCCCTCCATCCATTTTCTTTCCCACTTCCCCTCACTCCCGTCTCCGCCCCCCTTCCCCCAACCCCCCACCTCTCCTTTTCGCATTTCTGTTTTCTCCAATCCAAATGCCTGGGCCGCCAAAGAGAGATTGCCACCATCCTCCTTTGTCTTTTATAGCCAGGGTTTCACGTAGAGAAAACTTCCATCAACTGCAAAACAGTTGAAGCTCGGTTACCTAGTTAGTGCACACGAAGTTCTCTGGTTGGGTTGGAAACTGAGCTTGCGACACACCCCCGTGAGTGCCCCAAGAGCAATTGCAAAACATTTTTGTGTACGTGAGACTTTCGATGCGCTAGGGGCATTTTAGGTTTGGTTCCCAACCAAATTCCCAGACCTAGAAGGTTCAAGGGGGTCTGGCTATTCGCGTTCTCTTCGCACTCCTCGTTTCACCCCTCTACAAATCTTACACCTCGCCAACCAATCATATCCAAGAGTCAACCATCAATTGTAAAGACTTGCTGTACGTGAGACCCTGGCTTTGAGGTGCCTCAAAAGTCACCATCCTCCTTCATCTTTTCCCACTTGACCCTCGCTCCACCTTTCCTTCTTTCCTCTCCTTTCCTCCTCAATCCATTTTTCTTTCCTCTCCTCTCCTCCTTTCTATGTCCTTGCATTCTGAGTGCCTGGGCCGCCGGCGAGAGATCGCCATTTACCCGTCTTCACTCCCTCTTCCCCGACTCCCCTTCGCCCCCCCTTCCTCCCATTCTCCTTTTCTATGTCCTCGCAGTCTGAGTGCCTGGCCCGCCGGCGAGAGATCGCCGCCATCCTCTTCGCCTCTCATTTCGTTTCCAGATTCATCGTTGTGAGTCCCCTTCCATTCAACATTCTCCATCCCATTCCTTTCTTTCCACCACGCCACGATGTGCGGTCAACAATCGTTGCTGTGGCCAACAGCATCTTTCTCTCTAGATGCTGAACTCGACCACTCGTTAGTAATCATATGTATGAGTAGGCTTGAGCAAGGTGGCGAACACCTGTTCGGTTCGCCTCGAACACGTTCGAGGCGAACCGAACAGTTTTTGTTTTTCAGCTTAAATCGTTCGCCCGAACGTGTTCGATGTTCGCCCGAACACGTTCGTGTTCGTGGCGCTGCTGCAGAACGCCCCGTGTCGAACACGAACGTGTTCGAGGTTCGCCCGAACATGCCTCCACAGGCGAACAGCGAACACCTGTTTTTGGCTAAACTGTTCGCCGAACCGAACAGTGTTCGGTTCGGCAAAAGGGCGTGTTCGAGAAGAGGCGAACACGAACATGTTCGTGTTCGCCCTTTGCTCATCCCTATGTATGAGGACGTTGTTCAGTGAATGTTCACCACAAATGCATCCGTACCCTTCCCTTTGAGGTAATCACTCCAATTTTCTGGAATTGCCTCATGACTCGCTCGTGGTTTCACCTTTGCTGCTCTTGTGCCCTGAATCATCTTATCCTTCTCCTTGTGCCCGCTTCTTCTGCACACACTTCTTGGATTCTCAGTTCGCCTGCGCCTGTTACAGGATGTTTTCAGAATCAACTTCAAAGCTCTTCCTTTCCCTATCGCCTCGTGCCCTGCCTCTCCTAACGTTTCTTGCTCCCGCTCACCACTAATTCGCTTGCCGTCCCGTCCTCTCTTCTTCCCACGCTGGCACCTCCCCCCAGGACACCTGCTTGCACTGCCCAGAAACCGAGATTCGATACAAATTCGCGGAGCTCTTTCTCCACATAAGGTACTGTGCTGGTCTCCATCAAAATATGTAGTTTGCATGTTTCCAGTTTTATTGTTGTTGATGTAGGTTTTTTTTTTTTTTTTTTTTTTTTTCAACCCTGATATTTACCTCTACGAAATCGACATTCCTCTGTGTCGTTTTCCCAGCCCAGCCATCCAGTCCTCCTGCGAGCACCGTGCCACCACACACAGACACACACACACACACACATTGTGTACTCATGCCATGTCATGTCCTATTGCGTAATCAACCCTTCCCCTCCTCCTCTCTCGTCTTGTGTGCTCCCATTCTCCTGCCCAACCGTCTTCCCAACCCAACAGCTTGGAGAAGTGGCCGCCCCTCCCCTCCTCCACCACGCAGCCAGCAGCACCACCAGTCGCACCAGCTTCCACAGCAGTACCAGCAGCAGCAGCAGCAACAGCATCACGAGCAGCAGCTGCGACAGGCCAGGCTGGTGCCACTCTCGGCTTCCCAGGCCTTACTGCATGTCCCTTCACATCCATCCACTCGTGCATCTTCCACTCTCTAGCCTCTGCCCGCGCTGCTGCTGACAAGCAACCAAAACACAACAGACCAGTGAGTGCACGACCAAGCAGTGCAGAGCGGTGAGAAAGGGTGGAGTGGTGGACAGGAACGTTGCATCAATGCTTTTGCTATTTTTGCAGTGGAGGGACACCTCCTTTGTTCACGTCTCTTCATCCCTCTCTCCTCTCATCTCACCTCCGATTCTCTCAACCTCCCCTTCCCCCCTCTCATCCCCCTTCTCTCAACCCCTCCAGTACTGGGAGGGAGCAGCTATGCAAGGTGGTACATCCGCTGGTTGCTCCCATGCGTCATTTTTCCTCGTTTGACGTTTCTCGATCTCTCTCTCCTCCCCTCTTACCCCACTCCCCCCCCCCTCCAGTACTGGGAGTTGCTATGCAAGGTGGTGCAGGGGGTGTATCTTCGAGACGAGGAGGAAGCTCTCAGGAAGCTTCTGGACGAGGAGATTCGCTGGCTGCAGCACGTGACATGGGGAATGGATGGCAGGGAAGAGGTGAGGGGAGAGGATGTGAGTAGAGAAAGGGAAAAGGTGGAGAAGTGAGGAGGAGACGAGAGGGATGAGCAAAGAAACGAACCTTGGTTCGGTTCGGTTGAACATGTTTGATTGTACTCGAACCGAACTTCTGTTTTCCCAAAACAAATTCGGCCAAACGTCGAATAAGTTCGGGCGAACAATTCGGCAGATTTTTTTTTGTTCTGCTCCTGACAGTCGAACTCGAACGGTTCGACTGTTCGGACAGGGCAGGGTTCAATTCAGGAATATAATGATATGGACCCTCAAACCGAACTAAGTTTGAGTTTGGCCGAACCTTAAAAACTTTGGCCAAACCTTTTCGGTTCGACCAAACGTGATCAGTTCGGTTCGGCTGAATGTAAATGTTAGGAAATTTTCGACCAAGCAGGTTTGAGTTGGGTTCGTGCTCGACTCTCGCCGCGAGGAGCGCCTTCTCCTGGGAACATCAGAGGTCTGAGAATCCTGGAGGTTCTCAGGGGGACCGCTGCTCACGATTTTCCAAAATTGATATACATAAGTGATGTGTCTACAGCCTACACGTCACACCAAGGATCTACCGTATATGATATATGTGGGGTAGGGTTTTCGCTTGAGGGTCTAGGCATGCTGAGATATAGGCTGACGTACATTTATGTCAGGGACCCCTATTATGTACTGCAGGGACCCCTATTATGTACTGCAGGGACCCCTATTATGTACTGCAGGGACCCCTGATATAAAGAAGTCAAGTGTATGTCAGCCTATATTCTAGCATACCTAGTCTTCAAGCGAACACCCTACATCACAGACATCATATACGGTAGCTCCTTAATGCGACCTATAGACGCATAACTTATGCATATCAGTGCTAGAAGATTGTGAGCAGGATTTCGAGGACCTCCAGGATTCTTAGTCCTCTGAAGTTCTCCAGATTCGTGCTCACATCATGAGGCGAGGACGGAGGAGATCATAGAGGAGAGGAGGTTCGTGTGAAAAGGTGAGGAGAGGAGAGAGGAGGTGGGGGGGATGGAGGAGGAAGAGGAGGAGAGGAGGAAGAGGAGGAGAGGAGGAAGAGGAGGAGAGGAGGAAGAGGAGGAGAGGAGGAAGAGGAGGAGAGGAGGAAGAGGAGGAGAGGAGGAAGAGGAGGAGAGGAGGAAGAGGAGGAGAGGAGGAAGAGGAGGAGAGGAGGAGAGGAGGAGAGGAGGAGAGGAGGAGAGGAGGAGAGGAGAGGAGGAGAGGAGGAGAGGAGGAGAGGAGGAGAGGAGGAGAGGAGGAGAGGAGGAAGAGGAGGAGAGGAGGAAGAGGAGGAGAGGAGGAAGAGGAGGAGAGGAGGAAGAGGAGGAGAGGAGGAAGAGGAGGAGAGGAGGAAGAGGAGGAGAGGAGGAAGAGGAGGAGAGGAGGAAGAGGAGGAGAGGAGGAAGAGGAGGAGAGGAGGAAGAGGAGGAGAGGAGGAAGAGGAGGAGAGGAGGAAGAGGAGGAGAGGAGGAAGAGGAGGAGAGGAGGAAGAGGAGGAGAGGAGGAGAGGAGGAGAGGAGGAGAGGAGGAGAGGAGGAGAGGAGGAGAGGAGGAGAGGAGGAGAGGAGGAAGAGGAGGAGAGGAGGAAGAGGAGGAGAGGAGGAAGAGGAGGAGAGGAGGAAGAGGAGGAGAGGAGGAAGAGGAGGAAGAGGAGGAAGAGGAGGAAGAGGAGGAAGAGGAGGAAGAGAGGAGGAAGAGGAGGAGAGGAGGAAGAGGAGGAGAGGAGGAAGAGGAGGAGAGGAGGAAGAGGAGGAGAGGAGGAAGAGGAG